CGATTTGTTATCCTACTGTCCTAATTTCGTCATTTGTAGGTACCTACTTTACATATTCTCAATTTTGTGAAAATCGATTTATATTCACGTGTGGTGGTACGTGGGTTGCTTAATTATACCATTAGGTAGTACCACAATTTTTATAAAATCGAGTTTAAAATGTCTGAAATATATAGTTGTTTTTTTTTTTAAATTTTTTGAAGGAAGTATTTGATACTATTTAAAAGAAGTAAAAAAAAAATTTAGACAATTTAGATACGTTAGATATTTTTAAGACAACATTTTTATTTTTGTAAAATAGAACTACTTGTTGGTGCTCGATGCAAGTGTTTGTACTCATTGCAACTTGAAAGTAATAGGTACTAGTCGAAAGCTTGATTGTTGTATAAAGAGCGTAGTAATGGTATAATTATGGTTACACCAGTACTGCCATGTGAACATTGACTTTCCCAAATTTGGGGAGTTAATTAGTACTAGTATTTTTAAGTTAATTTATATATACATATCATCATGATTCAAATCATACTATATGTTATGCGATTTTCGTTCAATATGTWGTAAAAAATTAAGTGTAGTAGATTGTTGTGAGGTGACATTGATATTATTGTTGGGGTGATTTTGATAATCTTATTTATGTATATATTACATGTATTTAGATTATTTTAGTGGTTCATGTGTATAAAAAAAATGGGTAGTCGTCCATATGCTAATATTAGAGATGAAGTTGTGGAAGAAGCTCTTCAAAAAGTTGCTGAAGGGGAACTTTTAATTTTAAAAGCGGGTACAATTTATAAAACTCCGTAAGGCACATTATACAATCGTTTTAATTGGAAATACAACAAAAAACCTGAAGGGCAGCCAATATTTAGTCATGAGAATGAAAAAAAAATGGTAGCTGTTGTATCAAAGTGTGGTGTTTGGGGATTCCCTTTAAGGCTTTAACTTTAATGGATTTAAGGTTAACATACACAATTTGTCTATATTACAATTAGTTTCAAAAGTAATTAAAATAATCTTGTTTTAGATTAATTGCAAAAACATCAATAGAAAAAAGAGGGATAATAATACAAAAATGTAAGGATAATCTTCCAGGTGACGATTGGGCAAGGAATTAGTTTAAAAGATACAATACTCTGACCCAAAGAATCACAACAAACATTTCTCACATTTCTCGATGTCGTACGGAAGTCTCCCCTACTACAATAAATTCATATTTTGATAATTTGTCTTCAGTATTAAAAGATATACCTGCTAATAATATTTTCAATTATGATGAGACCAACCTCCAGGATGACCCAGGTAAAAAAAAATTTTATTCAAGCGTGGTACCAAATATCCTGTTCAAGTGCAAAACCACTCTAAAAGTGTTCGCACAATAATGGTATATGGGTCAGCAAGTGGTATTCTATTACCGCCATATATTATTTATAAGTCAAACAATTTGTGGGAGTCTTGGAAAAATGAAGGACCAAAGGATCTCCATGCTGTGAAAGTCCTTGCTGTTCAAAAGGAACCAGATATAATTGTACACCACATGGACGGATAGAAGTTTCACTTTCAAAGAATGGGATTTCACTTTATTTTTGCCTCGTACAAACCGTTTGATTGGGTGAAAAGTATTAATAGGAGACAATCTAACATCTCATTTAATCTGGAAGTAATACAACAGTGTAAGGATTCTATTGATTTTTATGTTTACTCAAAATGCAACTCATTTAACTCAACCACTAGATGTGTCGATGTGTGTTTTTTCCAGCCTTTAAAACAAAGTTGGAGATTTATATGGGTTAGTTAAACATATTATACAT